CAAAAAAGAAAAAAATCAATCAGACAGAAATATTGTCATCACCCCAACCCTATTGTTAATTCTTCATGACAACGTTGAGCAAGAGGCACACTGACGAGTAAGCTTGACGTTTCATATGGTAGCATATCGATATTTGATTACTCTGATATTATTTAACTTCCCCAACAAGATAAGAAGGTTCGTAACAGGATAAATATTTATCGATTCTATAAAAAATATAAGTGTTTGAATAGGGAAAATATTAGTAATACAGTAACTATATTAACCTTTTGTGTCTAGTTATTTGCGTTCTAAGGTTTTGGATACTCCATGACTTCAGATCACCGTAGTTTTCCCCATTAACAAATATAACAACAACATCTTTCATTATTCGCATGATCTGATGGCTGACGAAGAAAAGGTCGGTGAGGAGGAGACTTTCCTGTAACTATTTACCGTCCAGGCAACAGTAACTGTAAAAAATTAACACAAAAGATATCTATCTATCTATCTATCTATCTATCTATCTATCTATCTATCTATCTATCTATCTAATTTAACGCTGTATTTATTGGGTACATCTGTTTGAGTAGACGCCGTTGTTTTTTAAACAATGAAACCAATATCTACTGGTCTAGAGATCGAAAGTTTTATTGAAGAAAATGTGCCTCTCGACAGGAATCGAATGTATTCATTTTATAACTTCAGGCTGGGCGTACTTTTTATCATTAAGCTACTAGAAGCTATGAAGAAATGCTTATATATATATATATATATATATATATTGACTTCAATGTCCACTTTTATATTTTATTTTTACATGCAGTCTATCCCTGATATTGATCACTTTAACCCATAAATATACTATACCTTAAAAATATATTTTATAATATATATATATATATATATATATATATATATATATATATATATGAGTTAATGATCAAATGTAGATCAAATATTGATCAGAATACGACAGGATGATAAAATTAAAGAACAAATAGGAAACGTATATCAATCTAACATGTTTCACTTTTTATTAAAACTTCGCCGGAAATTGAGAGAGTGTGTTTTTTCAATTATGTTTGGGTCATTTTTTTCATTGATCAGACACTTGACACGTGTTTTAAAACTGTGGATAATTATATGTTTTTTAGGTTTGTGAAGATTCTTGTATGTTTAAATGGGTAACGAATGGTAATTGTATTTCTAATTGTGTGCGTTTGTCACAGGTTTCTTTAGGAATGTATTCTTCATATTAGATATTATATAAGTAAAATATTTTATATATATATATATATACATAACCTAATATATATATATATATATATATATATATATATATATAAAAAACCCTAAAAAATCTTACTTATCTAATATCTAATATAAATATATAATATATATTTGCACTTAACTACTTGCAGATTAAAGTTAGTTGTAAAGCATAGATCTGCGAAGAGTTCCACAAGCGAGAAGTGCACTTAAAAAGAAAAGTTAGTTAAAGCATAGATCGGCCACAACAGAAGTCTTGTTACTTACGGCTACATCTCGCTAGCTTAACTGTAGACGGATAAGATCTCGCCACCAGTCTACTATTACACTTAAATTCATACAGTCAAGTACCGTAGTGAAGTGCTCACCCGAACAATTACCATGAAAATATTTCTAAAAAAGGTACAGAGAGACAATCTAACGGCGGTGAGAAAGTGAAAGAAGCCGAGCCGTCAGACCAGGACCAATAATATTGCTGATTCTTCTTTGGATCTTATCAAGGCAACGGACCATATATGGCAGCAATATTTTAATCATGGACGGATGGTAGACTAATAGATATGTAAGACAGATTTAGGAAAGAAAAATTGTCTCGTCCGACACAGTAAACCGGCTTTCTTAGTAGCTGATCTAGCGATGGATTCAATGTAGTCTTTCCACCTCATGAGAGCTGAGAACGTTAGCCCCAGAAGACGCAGTGAGTCACTTTCTGAGAGGATAGCACCAGCCATGCTGATGAAAGGCAGAGAGGATTCTCTCAGATTATTAATGGAGGGAAGTTCAGTTTTGGAGGCGTTGAAATTGACATCCCCTCTTTTGCCTCAGTTAGCGACGGTCTTGAGGTCGTTTGTACGTCGACTGGCATTTTGACTTTGACTGATCAGCCTTACTATCGAGGAAGGAATAAATCGTAGTGTCGTCAGCGTAGATACCAAATTGAGAGCTGATGTCACCAGGAAAATCGTTAATGAAGATTACGAACAGCGTAGGACCGAGGATGTAGCCCTGGGCGACATCCGTGTTAGTACGAAAGGATGTAGACGAGTTGCCGTACAGGACAACTTTCATTTCACGATTTGATAGGAACGACTGGATCAGTACAAAAACGTGCCTGGAGTCACCGTAACATTTCAGCTTGTGGAGAAGAGCTGAATGCTAACACCCTGTCAAAGGCTTTCGAAATGTCCAATGCTACATCCCGGGTTTCACCATTTTTATCTCTTTCCGCAATTATTGTTATTCTATCAGCAGGTGATCTGGAGAAACAAAAGCCGTATTGCTTGTCTGAGAAAAGACAGTATGGTGAGAGATGATGAACCAATTCACCATTGATTAGGACCTCTAAGAGTTTCCCAAAAAGAGGGGCATATATATATATATATATATATATATATATATATATATAAGGAAATATATTCTTAAGGTGTATTATTTATGGGATAAAGTGCTCAATATAAGAGATAAAGCGTGTGTAAATATGAAAGTGACATTGAAGTCAGCACTTAGAGACGACAGGCTGTTTCACGCTAGTGCAATCGTCAGGCTTGATATATATATATATATTGTTATCCACAAACAGACTGTTTCGCTGTATCACAGCTCATCAGTGTGGATAGATGTCCGGTTGAATCTTGCTAGGATCGAAACTCGGTTGAATTGGCGTCAGTTGGAGATTCTATTCCTAAGCCGCTGGCGGACAGCAGGGATGAAGGTGAATTTAAGCGTATTTATTTTGGATAAACACACAGTGACTGAGAGAACTCGATTCGCTTTACCGAAGAGTCTTGCATATATATATATATATATATATATATATATATATATAAATATATATATATAAAAGTGAAACATTGAAGTCAACCCTCAGAGGCGACAGACTGTTTCATGCTGGACGCAATCGTTTCATGGTGAACGCAGTCGTCCAGCATGAAACAACCTGTCGCCTATTAATGTTGACTTCAATGCTCACTTTTATATTTATATTTACATACGCTCTATCTCTGATATTGAGCACTTTATCCCATAAAGACAACACATCTTAAAACTATATTTCTTCATATATATATATATATATATATATATATATATATATATATATATATATATATATATATATATAGGCATATATACTATAGGAATATGTCTGAAAATGATTCGAATGTTCAGAAAATAACATTCTTCTTTTGTGGGCTGTGTAGTCTACGTAAGGGAATTGGCGCCTCATATGGCTTCAAAAGAATCCCATCTCTTTACTGTGGTTTGGAGACAAATAAAATGGTGACGATAATCCCAGTACAAATTTTCTCGTTAGATTTTAATTAAGTGCTAACATTATCTTTATTAGATGATTTAATTTGTTCTGCCTCTTTAAAATATTCTAATTATTAATGAGTTGGAATTAATTAGGATATGCATTTTACCTATTTTCCTGGCCTCATTAATGCAAACAATTAGTTTAGCTTCAGTGAACATTTTAGTTTTTGTCAGATTGCCAGTTAGATTGAGTTAGGATTGCGGATATTACCATGCGTCATTACAATAAATAATTAAAAAAATGAAATAAAATGAAAAATAAAGAAATATGAAGCTAATTAGTTAATAATTAGAAGACAGTAACTGTTCAGTTTCATATTCTAAAAAATAACATATTCATTCATATTTTTGAATTACTTATTAAGATGCCACACAAAGAAGAAGAGTAATTCGTTCAGAAGTGAAGTTACGATTGAAAATTGAATAAAATTTTTATTTATTTAATAAATGCAATAATACGTCTACATATGACAATATATAATTTGTAGATCTTATTGGTTTCGTTGAGTGGTCATCCTTAAAACTTCGACTCTTGTTGTCTCAAGGGGGCTTGCCATTGGCTGAATATAATTTCACGAGCATGAAGTAAGAGGGCGTCGTTTTCGTATTTGGGCCACCCTCCACACGCACACACACACCGACACGCACACACACACCGACACGCACACACACACACGCCTACATATATAGTGATTTTCCAAGTATGGCTTAGATGTGTCACAAGATCGAAAGTAGTGGGTTACCCAGTGAGGATCAAACTTACGACTCAATCGTAATTGTTCTAGCAAGACAAGCTTTATATATGACAATAGGAAAACTGTAATAGTTGCCGGCGCGTTTCGTCCAATGTGAACTTTCTCAAGGCAAAAAACGAAATGAATTTATTTGAACAATGTAACTAATAATAACAAAAACAAAATGTCCGAAGCAAGAATTTAGAGAACGCTATTTTCTTTCAGTTGTCATTTATATTTATAAATATTGTCTTTTCTACAGGTTAACTCTGAGAAATTTTCATACATATATATATATATATATATATATATATATATATATATATATATATATATATGTATATAAATTGACTGAGGTGCTACATTCTTGCCATATAGATTTCTCGTCCGGTTAGTTGGAGTTACTATGCAAGTCTCACGAGGACAAAAGAACTTCCGTTTTGGTCATCACGACTCTCCAGATATAAAGACCCGTTAAATTCACATTTTATGAGAGAAACTATGATTCTTATGACGTTAATTTCATAGCATATTTTAATATATTTGATAATCATTTAATATTCGAGCAAAAAGTAAATCAAGATTGAATAGTATGGAGGAAATCTGCCTTTTGGAAAAGATCTCATTCGAAATCACAGCTTTTACATTCGCATTAATACTGATTACTATCACTAGTGACAAATAAGCAACTATTTCGTCTTATAGCCATATCACGTTGAAACACCGGTTCACGTGCGATCTTCTCAGTTAAGCACCATTAAGCCTGGTCAGCACTTAGATGCATGACCGCCTGGGAATACTAGGTACTGTGAGCTTGGATGTGTGGGTGGTGTAAGGGATAACGGCTCGGAATTGGAAATCGGTGAGCTGAGTTCGTAGTACCAATCGGGTTTCGTTACATTCACTTACGCGAAAATTACCCCTGGGAAAAATATGAATCCCACCGCTTCTCTTCATCCAGCTATGGGTTAATTAGGAAGACTTGTATCAGTAGATAATTTAAAATCTCCAAAACATTCTTATAATCTAAAAATATTTTTGGCTTTAAATAACCTGCAAAAGGTTGATAATCCGTAAAAAACAAACCAATCAAGCAATAAAGCAACTATTTCAGTCGCTTTATTATAAAGATATGCAAAGCTTAGTTCCGTATGATAAAAAAGTTATAAATATTGGACACCGAGTGAGGATCAGTTTTATTTCACAAACAATTTAAATAGAACGAGTTAGCTAACCATTGATTCACAGTGAAATGATCATGGCCCAGAGCATATTTTTAGCACTTATATTATCATATGCTGCTCATCTATAAAAACTATTGTTAAAAATCACCGTGTGAATTAAAAATATCATGGAAATAATGGTTTGAGACAGATAAACAGATTGAAATCAGTGGTACCTATGAAATACTTTCTACTAGAATGGTACCTATCTACTCTGAGAATAAACATATATAATTCATCGAAAAAAATACATTAATATTAATGAAAATATTTGATTATTGTAGAAAAATCAATCAACTGAGAAAAAAACTTATTTCTGTAGTAAAAAACAACAGCATAGACACAACGATATTTATTTGCTCTTCAGGTTAAAGTAATTTATTTTTTTTATTTAAAAATCTTTTTAATATCGATCCATTGAAAATGTTGGGAATAAGATTAATCTAAACTAACTGTTAAAGAATTGGAAAAAAATATTCTTGATTTAAAAATCGAATTGTAATTTAAAAAAAAAAGAATAGTCCCCATCGTGAAATTGGCCCTTGAGGTAGTTTTTTTTTTCTCCAGCCCATTGCTCCAAGTACAGTGACAAACCTGCAGATAGCATAGTTGTTATCGATTCTCTGTAAACAAAAACCGCTTCTTGAATGTTTAATATTGCTCTTGTTCGCTAATAAGCCTTTCCTTTTCACGCTTTAATTAGCTTGGGTCTTACAAACATGAATCGACTTTATTACATTTATCTATAATTGATTACTTGTGGCTCGGTTTATTTTTTTTCAAGCGTTATTTTTTTAGCCACGGGCCTAATTAAGATATTCCTCCGCAAGTATCCGAAGAGCATTTCAATTATTCTAAATAGCGTGTGCACCTCCGCCAGAATTAGGAACTAATTTACATTATAATATAATTAGTGCATTTTTATCTGTTAAAATATATCGCAGAAGTCAGCGTGTATGTTCTGGCAATATAATTATCGTATATGATTTAATATTGATTATAATTATTGTTTTCTACCAGGTTTGAAGGCGATGTTATTGTTTTATCTATCAAATGTTTTCATCACCAAAAATTGATTTGCTGTGCTTTGCTTTTAAAATCCACACCGACGTAATTGGATTGATCTAATTGAATGGTCGTTTGAAAATACACTTAATTAAAATTTAATTTTGTTATTGTTTACACGCAAAATATCCTTATGTTCATCAGTGTGTATGCCTGTACGTATGTGTAAGCGTATGTGTACATGCGTGATTAGTGGAGTCTTTCAGGGCGTCTTTGTCGAAAGTGTGCAATTGAAATTCCAAACTTTCGTCATTTGAACCTGTTCAGTTCTCGAAATGGTAGTTCAATAAGCTTTTCAAGTTGAAAATATGTTTTTTTTTAAAGTCTACCTAGAAATTGTTTCAAATTGTCTACCTTCTAAATAGCGTATTAGTGTTTTCTGCAAGATCTGCATACAGTAGAATTATAAATATACAATGTTAGATGAGAAAAAGAAAGATTGTGCTGCGGCTAGCCTACCCCTTTCGTTGACACCTGCTCAGGCAAATGTGGGGTTGTTCAACACCCACAGAGCCCCCCTGTGGTTTATAGTGAAACTATGAGTTAAGTTACAGTTTCTGGAAGAGAGCACATAATTTCTCATGATCGGTACTTTTTGGCAGCATCATACTCTCGGTCACGACGACTTGTGACTTCGTGCTCGTATCAAACTAGATTTAAGAAATACGTACTGCATCTTACCATCGTATAGTGGTCCACAGCTAAACATAGCATATTAATACTGTAGAGAATTTAATATTCACTGTAGTTTGTATCGTCCGAAAAATAAAGTTAGTTAATATCTGTAATTTTCCCAAGTGTACAGTATGTGAATTAGACGGGGATCGATCCTTTTCCTTCTTTTTTTATATTTGCAGGTATATTGTCTCTCTAATTAGAGAGACAACTTGTCTGCGAATCTAAGAAAATGAAAATGAAAACTCAAGACAAAGGTTAATGACTAGAATTCATTTGGATTTGTTTTTCGAAATGTTCTTTGAATTCTCGATGATGTATAATTCGACGAATACTTTGTTTTCCCCGAAATGAAATAAAAAAAAAATCGAGACAACCACAAAGAGGCCAAACAATTCATGATTTGCTTTCATTTGTTTTGAAAGATAAATAAACCAGAGTGGAATAATGGATTATGGCTCTGATTGAGGTATTTGAGAGCAGAGTTCGAATTCTATGCGAACATTATTATTACATTCACTTAGGTACTATTACTCTTGCGAAAGCTATGAGTCCATCTCGACCCCAGATATGGACAAATAGCAGGGCATTACTGGATTCTACAGACTTGAGTAGCAACTGGTCTAGGAGAACTCAAAGCATACTGACACACCACTTATACTGCAGCTGCAGTGCATGTCAAGCCCCTAAGTCTCTGATGAGTTATGGGACTTGTGATCGTAATAAAAATAGGTATATAATAATGTCCGAAAAATTTTCACAGATATGAATGTGCGTGAGAGATTCATAGAAGATTGAAGTTCAAATACAGTAAATTCGATCTTGCTAACCGAACGCTCCTCTGTAGCCAAATCGGTAAAGGCACGTCAAGCTAAATGACGGTTCCGTATAGGATACAGGTTCGAATCCTGTCGGAGGACGAATATTTTCTGTGAAAATTTCTCAGACATTCAGGCCGGTAAATGTTGTTTAATACTGTTTATTATAAATAGAGTATTTACTTAAATATTTGTATCTATAAAAAGAATGTTTAAACATAAAAATGTCTTAAAATAATTGTCGGACTTTGTCCATTTCATAATATATATATATATATATATATAGCCCTAAACAAAACGGACGTCATACCTAAGGTACCTTTCGGCCAACACTTTTTCAAAGGTATTCGTTGGCAATATTAAATATAAATGAATGCAAAGACACACTTGATAAAGTAAATGAGGAAGGAAAAGTGGAACGCCACTAAAAGGCAAATTCAAATTACACAAAATTAAAATTGAACATGGGTGGATGAAAATAAGTAGTTCCACAAGAGTTTAAACTAGAAAAAGGGGAACACACAAACCCTCCAAAAGACGTAAGGAACGTAAAAAATGTTCCATTTGTCTACACAGGCTCGGCTGTTGATACTTAATAAAAACAGCTTCAGAGACTCGAAGATGGTGCATTGAGCGAGCACTGTGTAAAACTGAAAACCTCGTGTCTTCGTATTCAGAGGCACAAGCATAGTTGTCAAGCAAATGTTGACCAATTGCAGACTCATGAACTGCCTGAGTAGTTCTTCTTATAGACTGGCTAAGACTACCATAACGCAAAAAGGCGGGAACATGCTGCGTAACCCGCGTCTGCAACCTTAGAATGATTCGCCCTATGTACACCGCGTCACAACGGCATTTGAATTTATAAACAACTAAATTTTTATGAAAATAGGACAACCTATCTTTAGTAAAGGACGGAAGAAAAGGTCTTAGTATTTTATGCAAAACTTTGTTGCTACAAATATTTAAGAATTGTAGCGTGACTGTCAGTATTTCGTTTCACTGCGATGTTCCGACTAAGAGACATTAAGTGGTCTCTCTCTATATTGGTGACATTCAGATTAAAGACCCACTTCAGCAAATCACCAAATAACCTATATATGCAGCCTGCTAAAGTACGCCTTGAAACGTGAAACCAATAGCCACCATGCTGTATTGATTCCTATATCTACACTGTCTCCATATCTCTAATTCTGTTTCGTTGTATACATCTATCTATCTATCTATCTATCTATAGTAAAGTAATGAAGGGTTTGGTAAACCGTGTGGCTAATTCCAAAGAGGGTATAATCCAGAGAGCTCAATGCAACAACAGAGCAAATATTAATTAAGTAATTAAGAAAGAGACAAACTTATGGTTCCATGACTATAATTTATTTCTCCAGAAAAAAATTTCTGGTTCATCAGGTCACATCTTTGTGATGAAACAGAAAAAAATATTTTCTGTGTCAATAAAAATTTCATTGAAGTCTAAATGCAGCATATTTGAACTTTGTATCGATCTAAAATGTTTAAAATAATTTCATATCAGTGTAGACACGCGCGAGTAATTTTACTTAATTATCGTTCCGATAAGTATAAAAGATATGCAAATGTGTGTGTGTGTATATATATATATATATATATATATATATATATATATATATATATATATATATATATATATTATATATATATATATATATATATATATATATATATATATATATATAGACTTCAGTGAAATTTTCGTAACAAAATATTGTTGGAGCTATTGTGTTGATATGAGATTTGAAAAATATTAGGTTGTGAAAAATGTTTTCAACAGTTTTTTTAAACTCTAGATGCAATGTAGAAACTGTTTACATTAAAAAAAAGAGAAAAAACGCTGTAAACTTTTGCAACTAATAAAATCAAGAGTAAAATGAAAAGAAGTAATGTTTTTCTTTTTCTTTTAGAGCAGATTCAAAAGCTGAGGCTGCCGTCGGGAAATGCAACGAACGTTCTGATATTGGAAAATATATTGACAAATTATGTGGGAAAAAATCAGGC